AAAAAAAAAAAAAAACAGTGAGAAGTGAGAACCACCAAACCTTAACAAAGTGCTGAGAGAAGTGGAAGAATGTAAGGAGAGCTGCCGAAAAGAAACCACAAAACAAAAAATAATTGTAATAACAAGCAAATGCTAATAATAACAACAATCAATTGTGCAGCAGTGGCCACGCAAGCAAAAATATTTATACTCATACACACACTTAATTGTTATTATTACACACACACGCGCCACACTCGGAAGAACTTGAAACCTGCCAATACAAATGTCACTGGATTCAGACAAACTTTTCGGCAGCCATTCTTACAATCGTCAGCCAGCAGTTTGGCAATAGTCCGTTATTGTAGTCTGTGTGCCCTGCAACAGCGCGTTGCGCTTCATTTACTCGGCCGCAATATCCCTATGCCTACTGCTGGCGCACTCGGTGTCCGACGCAGCACACTTCCACTTCTGCTGTGTCTAAAATTTCGTTGTTGGCCAAAGATGAGCGCCCTATGCCGCCGAGCGGACAATCAGTTGCGTTGCAATTACAGTTACAGTTACACATTGTACTGTTATGGTACAGTCGGCGCATTTGCTGACGATGACGATTACGAAGATGTTGATGGCAATGCGCATAATGATGATGACGACCATGCTGATGATGATGATGGCTGTGTTGGGCATAATGACGATGAGGATATGTGAAACGGAAACGGAAGTGGAAGTGAAAGCGGTAGCAGCCAACACCAAGAGTGCTTGTAAATAGTCATCGTCGCAGTCGTCGTCGTCGTGGTAGTGGTGGAATTAGCGTTAGCTATGCCTACGGCTTTAGCAGGCGTGCCAGTTCGGCCTAAGGCAGTGGCCACGCGACAGCTATAACGTGAAGGTGCTACGCAAAAGTGCCGCCGAACGAGCCAGTGCCACACACAAACGCCGAGCTGAAAGGAGCGCTTGTGCCAGTCTGTGCTTGTGTGTCCGTTTGTGAGTGCCTGCGTGTGATATTAAGTGGGTGACAGCTACCGCATAAAAATAGCGAAAAAAAATCATAAAATGCTAAAATCAAAGGCGAAAAAGCGCCTTGAAATTATAAGCGAGTGTGGCTGTGTGAGTGTGTGTATGCGAAATTCAAAGTGCAAAAAAGCGAAAGTGTTTCTAAAGTGTTAAGCCAAGTAAAGCAGCAACCGCAGCCGCCAGTGAAGTGTGTTTTTGTACAACAAAAGCTAATTAGCTGTAGAAGTTGCGTGTGTGTTACGCTAAAAATAAATAAAATAATAAATAAATGTTGAGGGGTGTCCTAAACACAAGTGTATTTTATTAATATGCTGTTTGCCTTTGAAATGTTAATACAAATATTTAAATTAATTAAATCATAGTTTTAAATATTAAACATGTTTAGAAATAAGTGAAAGTGCCAATTACAATAAAAATAACAACAACTGCAAACATCTGTATACCTGCAAGCAACACAGTACAACCGTAAACCGGCCAAAAAGGATTAAGTATTTTTTCACACTCCAAGCAGTCAGCCGCGATTTTGCGGCTTAACAACACAGCAACATGTTTATCTACCACGCAATTAAAACCGAAATCGACAAAATGTAATTATGGCTCGCCCTTTAAAAACACTCATGTATATTATTCAATAAATATTAAAAAAAAAATATTGGAAAAGAAATTCTTAA